TTTCATTGTAAAGGTTTTTCACTTCTCTGGTTAGGAAGATGCCAAGGTATTTCATTTTTTAATGGCTATTTTGGTTGGGATTGTACTTTCTATTTGAGTTTCTGTTTGCTTATTGTTGGTGTATAGAAATGTGACTGTCTTTTGCTCACTTATATTTTATATGCTGAGACTTTGCCAAAGTCCTTTATCAATGCAAGGAGGTTTTCAAGGTATAGAATCTAGTTGTCTGCAAAAAGGGATAACTTGACTTCCTCTCTTCCTATTTAGATATCCCTGATCTTCTCTTGTCTGATTGCTCTAACTAGTATTTCCAAAACTATGTTGAAAAGGAGGGGTGACAGTGGGCATCCTTGTCTTGTTCCAGTTTTCAGGGGAAATGGTTCCAACTTCTATCTGTTTAGCAGCATGCTGGACCAAACTGATCTTTAATTTGCCCACCCAATGAAAAAAATCCCAACACTGACCCCAAGATTTCCAATGAGAGAAACTGAGGTTTTTATTGTAGAAGCACCAAGCAAAGAGAATCAGGGAGTTAATGCTTAAGACCCTAACTCCTCAGTGGCTTACATGTAAGGGTTTTTAAAGGCATACAGACAGAGGTTACACACAAAGTGATGAATTAATACCTGGAGACTATACATTGATTTGGCTCAAAAAGGGAGAAATTTACAGATTTGGGATGGATTTAAAGATTTTTAGATGTGCACTTGATTAATGAAGCAAAGCTTTATCTAAAAACTTAGAGTCAGAAGAAAAAAATGTTAAGTTTTGGCCTATGGCCATGGCTCTATCTAGAACATTCAGGAAGAAATTTTGAACAAAGAATCACGGTCAGAGTTTAGTATTTAATTTCCACTTATCTGAGGTATATATGACAGTGGTCTGTATTTTCTATCTGGTGGATCTGAGTTTCCAAACTTTATCTTTATCTTTAGTTTCTATAGGGAACCAAACAACTGGTGGCTCTGACTTCCTTGGGTGGCTATTGTTTTTAGCTTTTATTGTCTTCTTGCTTATCAAGTTTTTCATTGACTTCTCAAGGCTATCTAGATGCCTGAAATTTTCCTTGAAGGAGCTTAACACTTTTCTTAATTTTCATGCTTGGGATGTAGGAGGCAGTAGTTGGCAGACTCTTAAGAAGGATTCCTGCTCAGTCTCAGAATCCCATTCAATCATTAACAACTGGTCCATTCCATAATAATGTATGATATTCTCCCTTGGTGAGATCATTCAGGTTTGCAGTATTTCTTCCAATCTTTTCAGGTTCTAAAAGCAGAAGTAGTCTTGGCAAATATGAGTATATAGCTTTACTCTTTCAGGCATCTGGCATAATTGTTCTAAGAAACAATGTCATCTCTTGTGAAAGATGAAAAGGTGTTAATGAAATGTTGAATTTTTTCCACTTATAACCCAGCCATTTATTATTTTACCCACAATTGTTAATATCTTTCTCTCTAGTAATAGGTAAACTTTTTTTTTTTACCTATGAAAGGCACCATAGCATTCCCACTGTGCTGGTCTAAATTGTAAGCAGCAATAATAGTCTAGTAAGTACTTCTCCTCAGTCCACTCCCATTCAGAAAAGGTAGAGTTACAAAGGAGAAAATCTCGTTGGTTTTTTTTTAATACCAGGTAACACAGTTGTATCCACTGTTAACCAAACTTTGCCAGAAGAAATGATAGGTAATAAAGGATGTATTATTCTTTGCCTTCATAACAAATAAAGTAGATGTCTGTATGTGTTTCCTACTTATTTGTATTTTTTCCCCAATTTTCTCTTTGTTTTCTTCAATTAACTAGGTTTTTGTGGGGAGGGGACTTTTTTAGAAATGTTATTATATTGATTTTTGGTTGATTTTTATTTATATAAATGTTGAAAACACTTTTTTATAATCTTTATTTCTCTTATAATTTTATAGCAGCTTTCATTCATAGATGTTTGAAATCATTATATAATCAAACTGTCAATAATTCTTAGTTTAATGGTACATTTAAATGAATCTTTCTATATCAACAGCCTAAATATATTTCAGTTTTCTTTTTCTTAATACTTTTTCTGTAAAATAAAAGTGCATAGTGGCAAGTTTGTGAATTTAATTGTCAGATCTTGTAGGTCAATTTTATTCATCTTCCTTAATAAACAATAGACAAATCCACAGATCTTGAAGGAAAAGTGACAGACTTCTCCAGTTATGTTACTGTGATTCCACTTTAATATACTCTCAATAAGGGGTCAGATTTTCAATTTCAGAAATAACTTCATGGGAGTCATGACATTTGTCAGGATCTTTCTCATATCATTTCATTAACTTATGAGTGTAAAGATAAGTTGAACCTTTAGAAGCAGTTGGTTGATTATATATCTACACTTATCTTCCATTCAGTTAACCTTTGTCCACCCAGTACAGCCAACAGCCTAAACAGATTTTTTTCTCTTAATATCTTTTCTGTAAAATATTAGTACATGGTAGCAACTTTGTAAACTTAATTGTCAGAACTTGTAGATCAATTTTATTCATCTTCTTCACGTGTAACTTTAATTAAAAAAGGACAATGGACAAATCCATAGATCTTGAAGGAACTTATGAATGTAAGGCTAAGTTGAACCTTTAGAAGTTATTGGTTGAATTTATATCTACACTTGTCTTTCATTCAGTTAACCTTTGCCCACCCAGTATAGCCACTTCTGTGCTCAGAAATGGGCATCCCTTCCTGGTCTTTTTTTTTTTCTTTTCAAAATAGGCATAGCTTTTTTTCTATTTATTTCAAGTTGGAATTTCAGTGACTATAGCTTTCCATGAGGTGCAATTTGATCTGCAAGTTCTTGCTTCCTAGGCTTTGATCTGTTCCATATTTTTCAGGACCATTTGCATTCACATATTCATTTCCTTTGCTTAAGAAAATTGGCAGCTCCCTCTGGCAATTGTCAGGAAATGAATTGTCTTTCAGAATTCTTTCTGTTTTTCAGAATTGTCTTCTCCTGGGAGGTCAAGGTCTGGTAGTAAACACTATCTATATTACAGTTTTTAACCAAGAAGAAATGATGTATCTGATGTTTCTAATATATTTACTAAACCTGAGGGACTGGAGTAGGACTGACCCAGATATAAGAGGATCCATTTTATATGATATCACATTCAAAAATGGCAACATAATATATGGTCTTAGAAGTTAAGACGGTCATTATTCTCAAAGACATGGTGAGTTCTGGAATTCTGGCAATGTCATGTTTTGATGGAATTCTGGTAATGTCATGTTTAATGAGTTGCTGATTACATGGATCCACTACTAGACCCAGCATGCGATGAGTTGAAGAAGAGAAGAGATGGTAAAAAAGGGGTGAGAGTAAAAAATATTTTAAAATCTTGACTGTTTCGTGGACCAACGTTATCTAGTTAATTTCATCTTTTGAATAATCTCTACTCAGAGGAAGAAAGAAAATTGGAAAAAAAAATTACAAAGGCAGATCGTTTAAAGAACTGACTGCCAGAGGTCTTATCATAAACTCAGAAAGATCATTTTACTAGAGACTCCAAGAAATGGAATAGACAAACAGACAATTATAGATATAGGTGGATACAGACATAGATAATATAGATATGGGAATGTTTTTCCTGAAAGAATTCAAAATTGACAAATTTTACTTTGCCTTTTTCCGATTTTCTCCTTTATTTTATGCAAGAAAATGTGTGACAGAACTCAGAATAAGTCTTAATATCAATTTCAAGTCTGCTGTAATGTTTAAACCTCAAATATACATTTCTTTGATGGGAGAAAGAAGGAAATGCTTTCCTTCCAAGAAAAATGGTGGTGCCTTTCCCATTTCTTTACATTGGTCCTACTGTGTAACATGGATTCTGGGAAAAAGGTTGGTCTCAGATGAATGACTTTCCTTCCCAGTTCTTAGTTCTGGTCCTCACATATTTATGGTAGTTCCAAAAGACAAAGATATAAGGCTGCCATGCACAGTCCAAGGGATGTTTTCCTCATCCTGTAGTACAATGGAAAGACACAAGAGGAGACAAGATATTTTGAGGATGAGACCCAAGACAACAATGACTTGCTTCAGATAGAGTGATCCCTCATAGTGAAAGATGGCTCAAAGAGTAAATTTTCCTGCTTCATGAAGCATCGGTAGACAAGAACAGGTAGAAACCATTTCTATTCCAGGTTAGTGTTGCTCATTTTAGGGACAGAGTAAGGAGGAGATATTTGGGACCTCAGATGGTATAAGCTTGTTGGTGCATGTTTTTAATGATGTTTTAGAAGCCCTACATCAGAGCCCTTTCTCCCTAGGACCTTTCCTTGGAAGGCAACTTTTGCAGTGACTATTACAATTTGTGTAGGTGCTGGTGTGTTTTGGCTTAGAAGAAAAAACAGGAAAAAGTGGAGAGTATGGAAGACCAAGGAAGCAAAAGAGAAAGAAAGTAAATCCAAAGGTTAATCTATGAATCATACATGGTGGGATTATACATTTATGGGTTTGTTAGCACAACTGTG